TCAGTCTCTGTATGGGGAGATCAACATCTTCAGGACTGAATTTTCTCCAAAGAGTAACGCTGTAATAATTTTGCTACTAGTACATAGACCACCACATCAAGCTGACAATCACACACCTTACATAGAACAGTCTCAAAGCTGATATGGCTAACATGCTGCAAACTACCCATTTCTGGTTTATGTTTGCTCAACCTGATGAATGCAAGTCCAGTGGTCATTCTTTTAGCTCCGTTTGTGGTCTCCATCAATCCCTGAGAAATCTATCAGCAGCAGGGCCAATGACACTGGTCAAAACTGGCATAAGAATAAATTCAGTCAAATACAGTGAGATCCTTGAAGACCCTGAGACTGAGGTGAGGGTTCACCTTTCTGCATAACTGACCTGAAGCATATGGCCAAGCCAACACTGCAGTGGCTTCAGGACAAGTGTCTGACTGTTCTCTAGCGGCCCAGCCAAAGCCCAGACTTACACCCCACAGAACGTGCACAGAGACCTGAAGATGGCAGATCACAGACACCACCCATCCAGTCTGATGGAGCTTGAGAGCATGTGCCAGGAACAATGCCAAAATGCCCATTTCCAGATGTGCAAAGCTTGTAGAGCTCCAAGAAGTCTGGAGGCTCTACCTGCTGCCAAAGAGGCTGCTACAAAGTCCTGAGTTAAGGATCTGAACACTCTTGTAAATGAGATTTTGGCTTGTTAATACATTTAATGATTGGAAAAACTTAGATTTACAATACAATAAAGTGTGCAAAATGTGAAGGAGTCGGCCAGTGGCACAGGAAACCCTGCACAGAGGAAACAGTGGATTACACTATATATTCCAAATGCTGCAAGCCATTGATGAAAGTGAAAGGATCCTCACTTCTATAACAGGACAATGACCCAAAGCCAACCTTAAAGTCCTCTTAGAAACACCTAAGCAAACAGCAGTAAACACTGCAAATCTCTAGGGAGATCTCAAACATGCTCTGTGCATTTACTGATTACATAACCAAACCAGGCACATGCCAAAGTTACTTAGCACATAGATCCCCCTCAAGCAGCCCAAATGTGAATATTAACTCTACTCTGGCTTTCTATTTTTCCTGACATTTCACAGCTAAAATTGGAAAAAAAAGTTGAAAATCTTAATTTTACACTGATCTGACAATTGAAAAAAACAATTTTAGAAAACTGAATTCAGTTCTCCAGTTCTTTGTCATTTTCCAAACAGAAAACTTAACTGATGAGCGTTACATAGATTAAAACTACATTATATTTGTCATGCGAGTCATCTTACATGTGGTGAGGAGTTCCAGTGTCTCCTTGGCTGCTGGGCTCCAGTTTCTCCCCAGGGAGTTCCCTCCCTGACCGACTGTGCTCAGAATGACAAAGCAGGAAAAGAGCGCATCCAGGAAGCTCCAGTCTGGCTCCATCACACAGACCAGGAGGGCAGGGAACAGAAAGAGGAGGGAGAGGACGAGCACAAAGAAGAGGCTGGCGTGGATGAGGGTAGCCTGGGCGTAGGCCAAACCCCAGTAAGTGTGCAGGTGTTGAACAGGGGTGTGGGTGACGATGGAGAGGAGGACATTGGAGAGGAAGGTGAGGAGGAACAGAGTGAGGGGGATCCCCAGGGTGCAGTAAAAGATACAGAAGAGCTTGGCCTCATCTGATTTAGGCGTGTAAGAGTCAGAACCTGAGGAGGATGAGAACAAAAGACCCAAAGCAGCAATGAATTTAAAACAGATTATTTTGCTTGTATCCAAGCCTGATGGAGCTTCTTCCTCTGTGACAGAGCTTTGTTGTCCAAAAACTACTAAAAACACAGACACTGTTACACTGGGTGAATATTTTGACAATCGTGTACACACACACCCACCCACCCTACTTCCACAAATATTAAAGCAGCAAATGTAGATCAGTTTGCTGCCAGTAGTCCCACAGAAATGCACCATTTCCTTCTGTTGGTGTCAATGACATGCTTTTCTTATCTACAGTGTTACAGTGATGAATTATCTTAAATGTGACAAAGCCAACAAAAAGCTACTTGGTTTATACAAATCGCGCAAACTCTCACTCGCAACACTTGTTTTTCCAGCTATTTAAATTCTTACATGATTAAGGTTTTCCTTGAATGGTCCTAATCTCCAAGCAGTTGCACATTCATGTGAGCTTGCCCAACATCCACCGGTGCCACTGTAAAAGCGGAATTTGACTGCATGTGGTTTTGTGGATATATTTTCCCTCCTGCCGCATTGTAACCAGAGGATGTGGAGAAAAATACAGGGCCTGAAGTTACTGCATGTCTGGGAATATTCCTGTACAGGGACCCACTGCTTTACCTGACCAGGTCTAACCTACAAGCAGCCGGCCAGTGAAGTCCCTTGGGGTGGTGAATGATCAGCTCCTCAATGGCAGATTCCCCTGGAGCACAGTACCCGTTTGTTTTGACTAGGTGAGGCCAGTGTGTCTGCTGCTGCATGTGATGTGATGCGATGCAGGTTAGCAAGGGGATTAATGACCTATGATGTTATTGTCAGTGCTACACTACCTGTTGGAGTTAATTTCACTACTTTGGGACTGTATGTGGTCATGTGGGGGGAAGATGTAACATCCACTGGTTGATTTACTGACCTTGGAGCTACTTGAAAGGAAGCGATGTTTCCACTACTCGGTGGGACTTAACGGTAAGTTAAAAAAAAAAAAAAAAAAGTTGTCTGTTAATGCCTCGTTTCTGTAATGTTAGAGAGAATTGTTGTAAGGCGGGAGAAGTTACTATGTCTGCATTGTGCACGTTAAAAGTTAGTTACATCCGTTTTCATCGATACATACACCGGTGTTTACCCATCTATGGGAGGAGAAATTCAATTTAATGCAGTTGCGGTTTGTTGTGCTGTCCACGTTCATATTATGGCTCGAACATGTCAGGTAGGATTTGAGAGATATTGTCAAAAGCATTTGTCCGTTTTTGATCCCCCGTCCAGATGCGTTTCCCCTGTTCAATACCCTTTCATTTAGCACCCCCCTCAGTGGTTGTGGTTAGGATAATGTTAGGAGAAACATATCAATGGGAAAAACCGATTTCTCTCATTTTTAGGAAGAGGCTTTCTGGTTTTATCATTCTGAAATAGACAATTTGGAGTTATGATGGGTGCCAAGCTAATCAAGAGGTACCCAAGATTAAACATTAAAGGCCAGAAATGAGCATAGGGACTTTAGGTGGTTGAATAAAAAAAAAAAAAAAACCCGACCATCTGTTTCTCTTGAGGCTAGAGAGTCTGAACAGGTGGCAACACAAGAACATGTGAAGCTAAATCTAATGAGTATTGGGGCCACATGGAGGAGAAAAATGCAGGTTGAGAATAAAGTCAAAGTCGATATTATGGTTTAAATGTTGAGATAAGTCAAATTAAGAAAAGTTGAAATGCCATTGAGATAGAGTCTAAATATACTGCTCAAAAATAAAAGGGATCATAAGACATCCTAGATCTGAATGAAAGAAATATTCCTGTGTGAGGATCCTTTCACTTTCATCAATGGCTTGCAGCATTTGGAATATATAGTATAATCCACTATTCCCTCTGTGCAGGGTTTCCTGTGCCACTGGCCAACTCCTTCACATTTTGCACACTTTATTGTATTGAAAATACCTTGTTCATTACATAGTTGAAAGTCTTATTTTCCCTTGTGTTCCCTTTATTTTTTTGAGCAGTGTATATTTTTCAGATTAAAGTTGAAATGTTTAGAATAAACCTGAAATATACCATTTCATAAAAGTTTAAATGTTTGTCTAAACACAAAAACTTCCTCCTTCCTTTATTTTACCTTAATACTCTGTTGCACAGTCTTGCGTAGCTGTGTGTGTGTTCACATACTTTTGTGGATTGTTTGGGCCCTAAGAAACATACAGAACACCGGAGTGATCTCTGTACTTCTCACTGTTATTAATCCTAATGGGGAGCCGACTGTTTTGACCCTTGTGTTTCAGGCTTTCACTCTGAACATGGGTTAAAAGCCACACCTGAATAAAAATTTTAAATGTTTTCTAGTGCTGAGATAGAATAAATATTTTAGGTTGACATTTTAAAAAGTTTAAGGTCCGCCTGCTGCTTTTTCCCCCTAAGCTTTCAACTACAAATCATGGTTTTCCCTCAGACGCATTTTGCTTCATTGAAATGTGAAATAACTTAACCAAATGCGAACTGCTGAGGAGAGCTGGCAAGTAAGCTGATCTTGAATTGAAGACAGTGTCCAACTAATGTTTCTTAGGTCAACTCAACAAAATTTACACAACTCCATTTATCATGCAAACACATTGGTTGATTCCAACTTCTGTCATGTGACAATTTGCTATTTTTCTGTTCTGTATCGTAAAGTCAATTTGAGTTCTGGGTGGTTGTTCAGACAAAAGAAATGAAGATTTTGCACTGAGCTGTGATCAAATCTGGCTTCACCAGAGACACTTTACCACCACTGGCAAAATAAAAAGTCCTAGTTGCAGCCTTTTGTTTTCATCAATAACTATCTGTGTCTTACCCATGGTGGTCAGAGTGACTATCACAAAGTAGAGAGACGAGGTGAAATCGTAGCGCCTCTCGTCAGCATCAGCCTTGAGAACAGCTACATCAGCGTGGTGAGCGGAGAGAGCTTTCCCCAGCAGCTCGCTCAGCCTGCTCTCTGGAACACAGGGGTTCTCCTGCAGGAAGGAGCGACGCAACTCCTCCACCTCAGCTCTCAGCTCCTCCTCCACCGGCTTCTCCATAGCTGTGAACACCAGACCTCCCAGTAGAATGAAGAGCAGGTAGCAGAGAACCAAGTAGGAAAACACATTCTCCTGGCAAAATAGTCCCAGTGAAGACATGAGCTTGGCCATTGTTGGTTCTGACTGCAACCAGATACTGGAAGCTAGTTAGGCTTTAAATATTTAGAAAGGCAAAGTGGGTCACAGACACAGGCCTGTTCACAAGGCAATATCAAATGAAAATTACACAGACTCCAAAGAACAAAAAACCAGGGTTCAAAAATACAACAAAATTTATTCTATGAAAACAACAAGTATGTACAAGATGGCAAGTGTCCCTCTGAATACATGGCACAACTATCAGCTGGAACTCAGTCAGTGCTTAAAGAAATACTTTTCTCCCATTTCATTTATAACTTCTCTTGTGTGGAGGATCATGATCATAAACTCAAGTCTGAGGTCTTGCCCCTGCTTCTTCAAGACAGCAAATGAAGATGCATTACAGTCAGATGTAAGGCCAGTGTTTATGCTTTCTGGTGAATGGCGCAATTGCTGCTACAAAAAACAAAGCTCTCAGCTTGCTGAAACAATAATGCTGAAGTGGATTTAGGATTTGGACTGTCTGGGCAAAAAGACAAGTTGAAAGTCGTCACTTTAGGCTCCAAATAATTAACGTTACTGAATAATGGAAAATGTACCAAAGCGGTCCGATGTCCATTCCTGGTGGCGTATTCTTCAAAGAGGGAGATAAAGAGAGTAATGAGAACACGCCCACCGACATACAGGTTTGCCTACCCTGCCAATAACGGGCAGCTTGTGGGCGTAGGCACGCGGTGGGAGGGCAGACAGAGGTGGAGTCGGGGCAAAAGTGGTCTGGAAGGGACGGCGGCCCTGGCAACGGCGGCCCATTTGCCGCCCACCAATCAGAAATGAGAACACCGGCAGTCCGGTCTGGGAAGAGGTGAAGCGAGCTTTGGGGAAACCGTCAAGTGCTGAACGCTGACCTGAACGTGACGAAGAGGATCTGGAGCGCTGCATGGAGGAGGAGCGAGCCAGGGACCTGATGTGGAAAAAGAAAGTCAGCAACATGCAGTGCCACAAACAAAGACCCAATCATTTTCAATGAGGACTACATTTGTTTGCTTTACCTCCCTGATCCTGTAGCAGCCAGGCTGGGTGGGGGCGGATCGGTGCGAGGACTCCCATCCTGCCTGGGGCTGATGTTAAGATTGGCAGTCAGCTGTGGCATCTTACGGGTGGTGTCAGGGTTAGAAGCAGGGCCAGGGGGCTCCTTCCTGGCATCACTGAGCTGGGAGTGGGTGCAGGGAGGGTAGCTGCCAAACCCTGGTCCTGTACTAAACCTGACAGCCAGGCTGTCTCCAAAGAAGGAGTAGAGCTCACAGTACATAGCAGGGAGAGGCACTGGGGTCCACTCCTCCCAGGGACAGCCGGCTCCGCCCACCTGAAGATGGCTGGCGATTCCAAGGGCGGCCTCAGACAGAGGCTCTGGAGGGGGGCTGAGACCAGGGGAGCTAACCCTGTTACCAACAGCACCCGCCACAGAGCCTGGCTGAATGCTGGAGCCTCCCTCTGCTGCCTGACACAGAGCCAGAGCCTTCATCTTCAGCAGACGCTCCACTGCCACCTGGAGGAAAACAGGAGGTCTATATGAAGGAGGTCTGGCAACACTATATGAACTGTGTTGCCAGTGGTTTCCAGCATTGGCCTGACTGATGTCTAACACTGTGGAGGGGTAGAAAAGCCCACTTAGAAGTTACATAATGTATATAAACACAAAATTAAATTGATTTTTTTTCAAATGTTAGTCATCTTTCCTATATTGTTATCACAATATGCTGCATTTACCACTTACCAGGCCTCTAAAAATAAAGCTGTTTTCTACTATAATGTTGACAGGACCACAGAACAGTCAGTGTTTCCCCTGAACGGGTTCAGGAGTGGAGCACTGCTGCTGCTGAAATGTCAAGGTTCAGTAATATTCACAACAAACATGACTTCCACTCCCAAAAACTGCACTTGTTACACTGTGGACAGCTGACTGTGGCTAGTTGCTGCTGCACTAGCAGCCTCTCCCACAGCAGCGTGTTGGCTGCTGCCCTCCTCCATCTCCCTCTTCAACTCTTTTCCCGACCCTCACTGGTTGAAGACAGGAAATATTCAAAACTAATTAAGCAAACAGCTAATCACATTCAAACTGTTCAGCTTTCCCACCTGGATACTCCAGGTCAAGGCCAGGTCTCATAGCAAATGTTTCATCACTTGTTCCTCTCATACAACAGATAAAACTCCAGTCTATCAAATGTGTCAGTCCACATGAACTCAAACACATGCATCACTTGATGACCTATTGTTCATGTGTGTCAGGGGGCAAGAAGTGGCTGAACAAATCAATGCACTGTGCACAGATAAATAGTGAGGGGAAACTGTTCTGTAGTTAAAAATTGATCACAGATTAACATAAAGTCAAAAATTGGTGGCCACATACAGGCAACTTGGGTGACCGTTAAGATCCCTGGGCAGCCCACCCAGGTAAAATCAGTGTTTTTACACACAGGTACAGCAACAAGGTCGACTGACCTACCTCTCCTAGTGGACAGGCTTTTACCAAGATAATCTCTTTGGCAATGGAAGTATAATACTGAACACACACCCACCAGTTCAAGCGAACCTACTGAATATCCACAGCAAAGTGATACAATCCAAGCTAAATGATTAGTTATACTGTTGTGCTCATGGACATGCACACACCACCACCACCATTGGGGGGGGGAAAAAAAAAAAAAGGATCCTAGGGTAAATACTGTAGTAATTTAGTACCATGTCATTCCAAGCTTATGAAAGTGCATTTACTCTACACCTTCTGCAACTTGAGTGACAAGAGTTGGTCTGAATGAAATGGGGAGTAAAGAGTTAACACCTTCACAGTGGCATCAAATTTTACTGCCAAAAACCAAGACAAAAAGAAGGATTTTCACAGATAACTGTACAGAAGGACATCACTTCTGCATTACTGACCAGGATGGCTCCATAGACCTTGTGTCCATCTGCTTTGACCTGGGCATTGGAAACAGAGTAGTCATCCAACACAGCCTGGAGGTTGGCCCAGTAAGCAGGAAGGTGTGGAAAGAGCACTCTCTCCACAGCCTGCCAACAAAAACACACAGGTTAAGGCAACTGTCACATCCCTGAGAACATTCAGATGAGCAGCAAAGATATACAAGCACAATTAGTGAAGTAGTGACAGAACAACATTACAGGAATGAAACTGCCCCATCAGATGGAGTCAGTCTAGTTTTGATCTCAAACTCTCCAAAAGGAGAGCAAGTATTTCACAATGAACTTTGTAGAAATGTGTATGAAATGATAATAGATCAAGAATATTTCCATTTGAGAAAGAGCATGGCATCTTCAGCCTGGATATTTTAAGGCTTCACTGAAGTGCTACAACAGAATATATTGGATAGTATTAGTCAATGTGTGGGAAAAGAATTGTGTCACCAGGTAACATGACCTGGGTAGACTACTTTAATGCAGAAACAAGACTGCCAAGCTTTACAGATGGAAACTGTGAGCATACCTTCCATCCCAGAGCATGAAGCCCCACCACAGCTCCATAGTGGGAGCACAGTGGTCTCACTGGGTCAGACAGAACCTTCTGGAGCGACAGAAGGATCTGGTGGTAAAGACCACTCACCAGATCACCATGAGTCCTGGAGGGGGGAGGGAGATACATTAAGAGGAAAATGAATCTCAGTTCCATAAGCAGGTGGACTCAATCACAGCTCAAATGAATTCACCTTGTTGTGCACGTGCACTTTGTAACAGGTTTGGCACCACATTTTACACTGTGCAACAACTGAACCACTTAACAAGCCCCCACTGCATAAATGTAACATTTAGCGCAGTTACTGAGAAAATGTGCAAATACAAAGATCAACCTCAGGATTTCAAGTTGTTCAGATCAGAACTGCAATTCATAAAAACTATTTTTATTGAGCCTCAATTTTCTGTTGATTCAAAGATTGATGAACTCACCACTTCTGTTCTTGTCTTATCCATAAACAGGCCAATAGTACAGTGGCAGTAAATGGGAATCTTTTCATGTAACTCATGCAGTTTCATAAATTAAAAAACTACACCATTTGACCTGAAAATGGTCACATGTAAAGAGATTGCACATATTGTAATATATGAGCGATCTGCCATTTTAATACAAATTTTTTACTCCATTGAAACCCTGCCAGCACATGCTCTGGTCCTACCAACTCAATGACCAAGCCCCGTGTCTACACCACATCAGGGAGGAGCTCACCAGAAGATGTGGCTGAGGAGCAGGGCAGCATAGTCCCTGAGGGTCCAGTGGTCGTTGAGAGGGTTGATGGAGGCAGCCAGTGGCTCCAGGATGCAGTACATGACACTGGAGACCAGGCTGCGCACATATGAGCCCAGGTACAGGTAAGGGTTCTGGACCAGGCTTTTAACCATGTGAAGGAGCCTGTTGAGCTGCTCTAGGTCATGGCTGACTGACTTCACCTGGACACAGTCAAACAGAAATGGAAGAAACAATACCACCAACTTTTTTTTTTTGACAAACAGATTAATCAGTTTACTTTTCTGTAAATAAAAATCTGCTGTAAAAGGCTGCATTTTCAATATTAAAATATCAAGATGTATTTAAAAAAAATGTTAAAGTGTGAAACCCAAGAACAAACCTTTTGCACATTTTATAGCGAAAAGGAAATAACAGGTTGATTTGGATTCTAACATTGTTTTAAAGATGAATGTTAAACATCTACAAGATCTGACCCTGGACTTCATCCAACCTACCCCACTGATGACGTAAACAAAGTATGGCAAGAGGGCAGCAATCTTGGAGTTGGACTGGAGGTCCAGCAGAGCCACCTGATACAGAGAAGTGTTAGCACTAACACACCGAGCCATACAGCACATCTGTTTGCTTCCAGCTACAGATCACCTTCATAAGGTGGAGATCCTCTCCCAAGATGGCCCGTGTGATCTGCTGGTAGTACTTAAACAGGTCATCTGACAGAGACTGCACTGCAGTGGGAACTGAAACAGTTCAGCAGTCAGGTCAGATCAGATAAGACAAGACAAGACAGCTTGTGTGGGTTGTGTAGACCAATTGTTATACATACTGTAGTGTGGCTGAGTCTTATCTGTCCCTTGAGGTTCCAGGTTGCCTTTCCCATCCAGGTATGACACATTCACTGTTATGGAGGGAGAGAAAAAAAAAAAACAGGAGAGAACTTGTAAGATATCTACATCTGATTCAAAGACCCTGAACACTGACTTTGTGGCTGCAGTGTGCAACAAAGCGGGTCATACCTCGCACTATAGTCTCAGCACAGCCTTTGGGAATGTTGGTAGCCAGAGCCAGCTCGACCAGGTTGATATCCCGATCCTCGATGAAGAAAAGCTCGCCTTCCTTCACTGAACGAAAAGGAAGAGCATCCTGGGCCCCGTAGCCACAAATGGCCTGGTGAACACACAGACTTCAGGATGCTTAAATGCAAACACCGTTTCACATATCAAGACCAACCCTACAGTAACTGACTAGACTAACTAGTGGACAGCATTACTGTGAGCATCATGCACACTCACCTCCACATTGCTCCATCTCAGAGCTCTGTTGAAGTCCTCCACTGTCAGCTTCCTCCTCTTGGCGTGTCTCATGAACTGAGAGCTGCTCTGTGCAACACGAAGCAAAGGCAACACACTCAACGTGAATAACTCCCTGTGCACTTCTATACATCTAGCCACGTTTCCTTGCGGACTGGCGTGAACACATAACATACGAGGATCCGTGCACCAACCTGTGCTGCTTCTCTGAGTCGATAACACACGTCTTCAGCCAGTACAGCGGCCACGTCGTCGCCGAGCTCCACACCTGCACTCTCCGCAATGAGTCTGACAGACTCCCGGGACACCTCGGCGAAGCGGCGCTCCTCCCGGTCCACCATGCTGACGGGGACCACTCGGAAAACTGCAAGAAAAAAAAAAAAAAAAAAAAAAAAACCCTCACAATAATGCTCGCTGGCTTTTATTATGCTAAACCTGAAGACTGAGTGGACATGTTCACAAGAACCTTGGGGGCTCCGTACAACTGATAACCTACTGCTGGTGTTTTAAACGTTTATTAAAAATGACTAATACTGGGTGGATCAGCTATAGCCTAAATAGATTTGTTAAATGTCTCAATTTCTGGTGCATTTACCAAGTACTGGCGACACTAAATCAATACGCCTTTAACTGTTTCACACGTTTCAATGGGACCTGGTGGAGACTCCCCCCCCCATGAGAAAATAGGAGCTAGCTCGGACTCGCTGCTCAGCATGCTAGCATAACAAAACCGAATCTGGGCTCTACCTACCCACCAAGAACACACCATTTAAGCTAAAACATTTATCTTATTGTTACGTGAAGACAACTACCACTTATACAAATGCATTTTGTTGTATGATTTAATGTTGGCGTCAGATAAACATCGTGTTTGAGGCATCAAAGCAATTACGTTAAGTTGTAGCTACTACAGTCACCACAACTTGAAAAGCTAACACCTTAGTGGTTAAGAACCACAAAGAAAATTCAGTGCAAATTCTATAATGACAGAGTTGCACTTTACCTCCTTAGGTAGAACCGCTGAAGGATGATTATTCTTCCACTCAGGCGGAAAACGAAACCTTCCTCACACGGTGCTCCATCAATGTCAAGTTAACATGAAGAAAGGAACACATTCGTGAAGCCCTTCAAAATAAGGCAACACTGGAGAGCCCATTCAATTCATTTTTAAAGTTTGTCGTATTAACAGTGGAAATAACAGTAAATACGGCCCTAAAAAAAAAAAAAAAAACCCCACAACCCCCAACAGTTTAAGTAGCTGAAAATCGTTTATCTAAAACCGCACGACACGGTTACATTTCCGTATGCTAATGACGCGACACGTGATTGGTCGATGGAAAGCCAATAAGAAACACGGATTGGTAGTTCACCTCTAGACGTATGCAGTCCGTGCTCTTCAATGAGGGGATAGACAGAAGCTGATTTTATGAACACAATCACTGCCATATTAAAGCAGGAACACCAAGTATTGTATGCCATAGCATCATCCAAGTAATTGTTTTCACCTTCACTTACCCCTGCATCTCGTTGTGAGCCAGTTTGGTAATGTAACCTCCAATAACAGCCTTCTGTTATTTAACACTTTACCATGATGCACAAAGCAAACCTGATCCAAATGTTTAGCTTGTGTAAATTAAACCACAACAAGTTCGATTAAAATTAGTTTATTCCTGATGCAACTTCCACTTACTCAGTTCCTTGATGAGCTACTGTTATGTACAATAGTTAAAAACATTAAATTACACTCATAGCTGCACCTGTAGTGATTCAGGAAACCACTGACATCCTGTCCAGAACTATTCTAGACAAACCCATGACTGAACAGTTCAAGACTTGCTTGACCGGCTGACAAGCAAGTCAAACAACCTCAACTAAAATTATATACGTTACAGGGGAAGAGCACATTTAAAAAAAAATAAAAATAAAAAAATAAAAAAAAATTAACTGAGCTCTGGTGTTTGGTGCTGATGCCGGTCTAACAGTGAACATCTAGTTAAAGTGCCCTCCTGTCCCAGATCTCCTGGGCCTTGCTGCTCTCCATCTGCTGCAGGTGGAGAGCCAACGGCAGCAGCAGGTCACTCAGGTGCTGGCTGGAGAAGGCATTGTGGGCCATAGTCTCTGCAGGTGGGGTGGCGAGAGGAGAGGAGGAGGTTGAAGAGTTTGGTGAAGTAGAGGCAAAGGGGGATGTGGGGGACTGTAAAGCCAAATTGCCTAGAGACAGCTGAGGGTAGAAGAACCCTCCTTGGGTCTGGTCACAGGTTTTAATCTTGCTGGGGAGGTTGTGCTGGAAGCGACAGCGTGTGCCATACAAGCAGAAACCAAAGGCGTTGAAGGTGCGGCACAAAGCTCTTTGAGGATTCCAGTCCTTGATCTGTGGCCGGAGTTGGGGGTTGGCAACAGACCGAGCCTTCTTGCCAGTGTCGGGACAATCCACCCCACCACTGACATCTTCACCGTTGATGTGCAGGAAGTTACAGCGATTGCCATAGGGGCAGACTCCAAAGGAACGGAAGGAGCGGCACATCCATTCTGTGGTCTCTGGTTTGGGAGGGGGGTTGGCAGCAGATCGAGTCTTCTCACCCACATCAGGAGACTCCTCACTACCCCAGACATCTTCCCTCTCAACATGCAGGAAGTTACAGCGAGTGCCAAAAGGACAAACGCCGAATGAGCCGAAGGCACGACAGGGGACATTCCTGCGCCGACGTAGGGCAGGACGCTGTTCGGAGGGACTGTGGACAAACAGGCAACGGCTGCCATAGTAGCAGTAGCCAGTAGTGTGGTAGCTGCGACACAACTCCGTTTTGTACTTTGGGTGGCGGTAGGGAACATGGAGCTCATGGAGGCCATGGGCGAACTGGCAGCGCTCAGCATATTTGCAGAAACCAGTAGCAGAGTAGCTGGTGCAGAGCTCTGTCTTGTAGCGGGTGGAGCAGACCCAGGGGGCGAGGTCTGGGGAGGAGGGCTCCACCAGAGGGAGCAGGGCCTTGGCCAGGGAGAGCCCCCCTCCACTGCTGTTTCCTGACTCTTCACTGAACAGCAGGTTGTCCATCAGTGCCTCATCTTGGTAGGAAGGCAGGAACAAGTCATCACTACTGGTCTGGGGAGGGAAAAAAAGTTACACTTAATTTCAGTGATACCAAGACCTGCCTTGTACAGTATAGGTTGTTGGAGGGGGGACGGACGACATTTCTATCCATCCTGAACACAGGTGTCTATAGTAGGCTATCCAATTCAAAGCACCCTTCCACCTGCTCCAAGGGCAGGGATACCACAAGCCGACGCTTGGTGAGCATCAGTCAGGCATGTGTCGGCCCCAAGACTTTCATAGTACTGTTCACCTTTTTAGCGAGTGCCTGTTACAAAATAAAGAACACGCCTCACATGCCTAAAGTCTGTTTTGCACTTAAAAAAAAAAAAAGAATAAAATGGAAATTGTACCCCTGGCATATTCACCACTTTCTGCTTAAATCCCACACTGCAAAGATGTCACAACTGTGATTCAGATAAATCCCTGACATTACATTCTGTCTGACAGGATTTTTATTTTTGTGGAATTATAAAGTTTATCATTCTCAGAGAAGTGAATATTGATTATGTATAGCTAATTACTAGCATTTTAGAGTATTTGAATGCCAAAGACTTTGATTTTATTGCTTAGGGATTACATAGTTATGAGTGTAACAGGACAATATACCCCAAAAGCAGCTCCAATCCATCCATGTTCCCCTGAAATGCCATTCAGCTCTAATCTTAGCCGTCTAAAAGCACACTTATGAGAATGTGGTCTTAAGTATTCAATATTTTACAGCTGCTTGAAAACCTGTAATCTGGTGACAGTGTTCAAGTGCCAAACAAATACAGCACCACTCTTTTAAAAGTGTGCAGAAACACTTTTACTCAGTTTTAAATCCCTGAACATAAATGGATAGACCAACTAATCGGTTGGCCAGTTACCAAAAAATGTTAACGCATTAGCATTTTTTAAAATAAAGTTGCTTTCATTACTTGTGGACATTTTTAAAATAAGGGGAACAAGAGCATGGCAAAGAGACATCTATTTCAAGATCACCACAGTCTTAAGAAGAAACGTAAATCTTCCTAATTTACCTGGAGCATGGCGGCAAACTGATGAAGAGTCGCGTGATGTGACTGGGGAGGTCAGCCCCCAGCCCGGTATGAGTCACAGAAGGCCCGCCGAATTACTGTGAAAACGTGTATGAACAGAATGGCATGGACTGCAACACTGCTGCTATGTTATAAAGTCACAAGCAAAGAAACAGACATCTCCGTTCGTCTTTTAACCCGGCGCGCAGCTCCCGCCTTCAGTTTAAATGAGCATCAGGTGTGCTCGAGCTCGACTCCAACAACCAATCAGGTCCACGCCCCGGATGACGTAACAATCCGGTTAGCATCTGTTCTATATTAGGGGCAACACCGGCTCTATCATCGCGGAAGGTTGTGGCTCAGGAGGCAGAGTCAGTCCTTTCTTAACAAGAACATTAGCGGTTCGATTCCTGGCTTGTCCAATGGTCCTCGGGTAAGACGCTGAACCCCCAGTGGCTGGTGACACCTCTGTGCTTTTATTGTGTGTTTGCCACTTTGGATAAAATAGAGGGTTGTATGTGGACTCGCAAAGTACTACTGTTGCTAAACCTCCTGTTATTGTCTTATTTATTTGCATTAGGCTACTGTGAGAAGTCTGGTTAGCTATTGACACGTTATCACGAGGCTCAATCAACATCCTCAGTCAATGAACACACTGTGAGTTTGTGTTACAGACTCTTAACATATGTAGTTTGTGTGAGTACCTCAGTCACATCAGCCTACAGACTTGTGGAAATTAACTCCTCAGTTTGTAGTAGTTGAAAGAAAACCTAATTAAAAACCGTCTGATAGGAAAATAGCAGAGTAGAAATAGATGAATAGCCGTCTTTAGCTAGGCAAAGCTTTGGTTAAGTATTTTTCAAATCAGGCCCAATAGGAATCCTTAAATATTTTTGCACCATGGATGTCTAGTAGAGACACACACACACACCAGAAAAATCCTAGGGATTCACTCAAAGCAGAAGGCAAAAAAGTCTGGCAACACTTGTGGTGTTCTGATCAACACTGCATTTCCAGACTTTTTGCTTTCCAGTCCTGTTTGTACACTTTGACAGAGGATGAAGTTGTGCTAGTAACTTGTACTAACTCCAGGTACAAAGAGTATCCTGACAACATAAGCTCAGTTTCCTTGTAGTTTGGCAAACACCTAAACTAACAGAGCTAAAAGTGAGCCCAGGGCTGACCACAAAAAAATCTTTATTTCTTTTCTTATCAAGATACATTAAAGGATACAGAGACATTGGAATAAAAAACACATGAGAAAAAGTTTCAATTGTAGCATGGTTTTTCTCTCCATCATACAAAAGTCAAAATGTTGCCCCTGGTTCAAATGACCAGCCCACCCACCCTACGAAGGAGAGTAATGTTTCACATGTACAGTAGACTATTAGATCCATCTCCACAATGGAGCAGAATTACACACTTTAGATGTAAAAAAAAGTTCCCAATATGCCAGTTTCCCATTTTTTCTTTACAGATTATTATTATTTGCTACAAACGCAACACTTCAATTTCTTTTTTGAGAAATATTACACAGCCCACATTGGGACCAAACTTGCTTATAAAACCAGTGTCTCCCCTCACTGCTGTGGGGATTCCCAGGCCGAGGCATACAGAGGAAATATAATTATCCAATTAACACCTTACTTTCAGTACTCACCCTTTCACATAATGGTACAAACAGGGGGAACTAAAATAACCAAAGCAAATGAAAACAAGTTGAGACAGCTGACGAATCCTTTCACACAGTCATCACACCCAAAGACATCACTTCTGTTTTGCACTGTCACACAGTTACAAAGGAGGATTAAGGCTGTAAGAAACCAGTGTTTGGAAAAATGTATGACTTTAATCTCAAATGTTTAACATTAATTTCAGAACTTAATTTTTTTTGCCACATACTTTATTACTTTCATCAACAGACCAGTAGCATAACTGTCTGTTTCATTTAAACCAGCCTAACAGTACTTAAGCAGAAATGATGTGGCTTCATTCCAACATGACCTCAGGGTTAAAAGTGTCCACTCACGATGGACATCAACCTTTTTTGTTGCACATTATGGCTTTGTGTTGGATGTCTGCAGACTCATAATACCTTAAAGCCAAATGTGTTCTCCACTGATGGCAAGTCACCCAGTGGAAATCCATGGTAACCACAATCATTTGAATTTCCTAAAACATCCATCCAACAAGACTCTCTCCATTAATTCCACTACTGCCTGTTCAGACATCTTGGGGGTGGGAGGAGCTCCAGGGAATAGGGGGCAGGGGACTTTTCTCTTCAAACTGGTTAAAAGCAGCTAAAAAAAAAAAAGCATGGCAATCAAGTGACAGGAGATAAAAAATGTGTCTTGACTGCAACAGCAACCCTTCTATGTATGGAGAGTTAAATATGACATAACTACAGTATCAAATGAGCACAGAAGAAATGTATGCAGTTAAGTCAGGATAAGTCAATTTAAAGCCAGGATTCATTTCATCCTGTAAAATCAAAAACAAAAAAAGTCAAATCTAATTTCACTAAAAGACACTAAAATCCAGATTTTGTGTGCACCATTTTAAATTTGGTGCATTTTTCCACCTGTTTTGGGAGAGCCCAAACACGAGAAAACAGTTCTCAACAACATAAGAGTATGGTGGGTAATAAGTCTGGATTCACTTCAGGTTATAAAAAGACAGGATTCAGAACACACACCAAAATCCTGGATGTGAGCTAAATGCAAGAGACAACATAATTTTGAGTTAACAGACACTGTTGTTAACCTGATTAGAATTGAGGCAGTCTAATAATTGATTTCTCGATCCACAGCTAAATTAAATCGTCAACAATATTGTTGACCGACTCATTAAGTTGTAATCAAATGAGTATCTTTGGGTTTTAGACATCTCAAGATGTTAGCTTTGGAAAATTATTCTGGGTATTTTTTACCATTTAATTAGATGATGGTCAGATTCAGTGACAGTGGCGGTCATTTGCAGCCATGAAACAGATATTAATCAGAAAGCATGATCTAACAGGGAAGCACTTCTGATTTTGTATGACTGACACAACCTGCCAAATCTAGTAGCTTTGATATTAGTGAGCAAACAAATGTTTAAATCCAGTCACAGAGTCAAAATGCTGAATACGCTCCACTCTCTATCCTGTCTACAGGTTTTGTTCGGCACTCACACATCTGCCTCTGCACACTCTCAAACCTTGGCTTTCACACTGCTCAAACTGTTTTTTTTTTTTTTTGCCCACTCTATACTTTACACAGACACCATATGTTTAGAGGTGCAGGTGGGATGAAGCTCCAGGGAAGGATCTGACTTGTGCCAGCTTAACAGGCTTGTTTCTGTCTCCTGACTGATGATGGCGAAAGCAGACAAGTTACAGACTCAGAGAGAAAAGCAAAATGGCAGAAGATGGGTTAAACATGGTTCACAGCAACTGAGGGAAGCTCTGAATCCCCGACTTGGACCAATGGCCACGTGCAGTCAGTGAGCTATCATCAACAGCCTGCCACATTTTCCCTGCTGGGATGAAGTGAGAAGTGTATGAGTGACATCTTCATATCAGATCAAATTGGCCTGCTACAACTGTGCCCCCATCCCATTTCACTCTCACACACACATACACATGGCGTCACCCCTTAAATGATGCATATATTTACACAAAGAGAGATGTAGAGGAAAAATCAAAGTGTGCTTCATCTCCATTGCTTCAGGATGAAAAATCTCTTGATTTAAATTACACATTTAAAACAGGCAGCATAAAAAAGGTAATTTGGGATCTGGAGAAAACACCCTACAAAGCCCAAAGTGTGTGTGTGAGTGGCAGTGTGTTGGTGTGAGTGTCTGCTTATTTAATATTGTAGAAATGTACAGTCATCTAAGTGCTTTTGTGTGTTTGTGTGTGTGCTGGACACATCAACTTCTGGGAAATAACAGAGGACTCAAGAAAAATGATGTTGAAAATAAAGGCAGCAGGCCAGTACGCCGCACCTACTGGTACCTACTGGTATGGTGTACTGGGCTACACAGACCCTCCCCCAACTCCCATGTCCTTTTAAAAGACCCCTCCGTCCTCCCCCTTCAGTCCTCCAGGACAATGGGTTCGCTGGTGCTGGAGGGGATCAGGGGCATTGCTAGGTTGCGGGGAGGTGGCGGCAGCTTGATCCGCACCAGAAGATGAGGTTTTCTTGCTGCCCGGCGCATTTCTGACTGGGTCAGATGTTTCCTCAGAGCCCTGGTTGAGAGACCACCAGGAAAAAAACATCACAGTCTGTACCTGTATTCATTTACCATGGATATTTGTATAGACAGATAAGAGCAGCTAATGAATGGTCCTGAAATTAGACTTAAGGTAAATTTCACCCAGTGAGTTTGGCTGAGGTATGTATGTCCCTACAGCCATAATGATTTGTCCCCTATGAAACAAATTCATGAACAAGGCCCAATAATGCTGTGTGGCAGAGACCATGAAGTTCTGAGATAAACCAAACTTGGCTGCACGTGCTGCTGCTAATGTTCTGTAGCTTCACCCTTAACATTATGGAGTCTGAATGCTAAGCTGGTGATTGTACCTGGTGTCCTTTGTAGCAACAAACACCACAGGGTTGGGTGCCTCCCCGTGGCTGACCTTCTGCCGCTTGATGACTGGCTGAGTGGTGGTCCTCATACCTGAAGTGTACGGCCTCCCGTTGGCTGGGTAGGGCACCCCTGTAGCCTGTGAACCAATCAAAGACCACGATAGTAAATCAACCTTGTATTTTCACTTAAGAGGTGAAACAGCAAGTGCTGATGTTCACATCCTATAGCCAGCAGTGCCTTTTTAACACCAGAATGTGTAGCGGCCTCGGGAATTTGTGTAATACTGACGCTGTCAAACCCTCTCTTTCCCAGCAGGCTTTGGCCCACTCGAGGCTGGTTGGCCTGGTTCCTGTTGATGGGTGTCGGGGGCCCTCTGGATGCCTTCAGTTTCAGAGGAGCTGAGATAGCTGCAGTGACGCAACATTCATCAAAAGCCAATCACAACAGAAAAGGCCAGATAAGACAAACACAAGAATTACAGTTTTAGAATTATGACTGAGGAGGAGGAGGAGTGCCGGTCATGACATGCTCTTACCTAAATCCTTCACTATAGTGGCCAGCGACTGTCGAGGCACCAGCTTGCTTTTCGGAGGAGTTTTTGTGGCTTTGGGCAGCCTGATCATACCTGAAGAAACAGACATGTCCACTCAGACTTCTGAACCAATGGACACATGGGGAGAACCATCTCAAGGAGAAAACACATCTTTACAGTGTGTTTAAACACAGTGATATTTCAACCGATTGTGCTAAACCTGAGTTAGAAAGTATTGTGTGTTCATACACTCAGCCTTGACAGCGTTGGCGTTAATGGATGCGTAGGGCCGCCGTGCAGCACGGCGAGGCTGCAGGATGTCCTCACACACCCGCCGAGCGATGCGGGTCAGCTTGGTGGTCTGCAGGATGAACGTCTGCCGATTCTTGGCCAGCAGCTTGGCTCGACCCTCGTTACGGGTGAACGGCGACAAGCCCTGCACCTCCTGCCTTGTCATGTGAGCACGGGGACCTGTCTCCTGAATGAGGAAGAATGGGCACCGTGAGGCCTTCAGGGGGCATGGTTTATTTCTGCACTGCATCTGATACTAAAACACACAATTAGATACTAGATCAGACTACAAGGAATATGACTTACAGAGCCAACTCTAGTGGCGCCCTCTAGCTGTGTGGGAGTCTTCAGGCCTCCATATTTCTTCCAGTAAATCCAGCAGGAGGCACACAGTCTGCACTGCATGTTGGGAGGCCCCCAGGAATACCACTGAGGAGACTGGGCCGCTGGATTGATGGCAAGGGAATCATTGTTAGGAAAGGCTGACTGATAAACAGAAGAAACAAACAAACATCCGACATTCATCCCATGTTTCTTTTTGTGATCTGCTGTGGTTCATAGAGGAAGCCTGAAATAACAAAGTCTGCAGCTTCATTACTTGGTCGGTACAGACAATACCTTTAAGAGTTATAGTGACTTCATCTGAATGAATTTGGAGCTCAAATATGATACTGTATGATGGCTGGGATATTCTCTAATGTGTCCCCTTGTTGCTGCTCTGTTGAAACATCACTGACACATGTACTACTAGCATCTTCTAATGAGACTGCTGCACTTTTTGTTTCCTAACAAGAAACTTGAAGCTGTGCAGCTTTTCCTGACATTTATGTGAATGAAACCTTCCCATAAACAAAGTGGAACATGGCATTTATCAGCCAATTTATGGCACGTTTGTACAGTTAGGACAGCTTGGTGAATCTTGGAACGCTCGTTAAACATAATTTACATCTGCATTATATCGAAGTCAAATATCTAAATGATTTTTAAAACACATGCTGTATAACACACACCACAGGACTGGTCCACCAAAAAACCAAACAAAAAAAAAAAGCTCAACAATAAAACAAAAAAGGGTGCAGCATAGTAAAACAAAAACAGAGAGGCCATATGATCCTATACGATTATATTTTTCCATATGATATAGCATCTCTCCTAATAGTTCAGTCAGTTGTCCACTGTCCTTGTCTATTTAAATCCAGATTATACTGGACTCCCAAGGATTTCAGTGGTTCTTTCCACTTCTTCAGAAACTTATAAGTCTTTCCTTCGACATAATGCCTCAGTTTTTCCAATGTCATAAGCTCAGACAACAGAGACAGGGGGAGGATCATCCTCAACCCAATTCCCCCATAATGGCTTTCTTTAACACCATTAAAAGCAATCAAACAACTTCTTCATGCTGTTTCACAGAAACAGGAACTTTCCACGCACACACAAAAGAGGGTCTGCTGACCTATGGCTATACTGATGTTTGTGCATACTGCCTTCCAGAAAATCAGAATACTGTTACATTCACACAGGCAGTGAAATCTAGTACCCACATAAGTCTTAATTTGGGACAGTTTGGTGAAGTTATACCTACTATATATGTATAGCAACATATAGACATTTGTTCTTTCTCTAGATTCATTTTTAGACTATGTAAAATTCAGATTTAGTTTAATTTAAAACATGTTCTTTTAAATCTTTTTTTACACTTCAATTCCAAAACATTTGTTCAATGAACAACAAAGCCTGGTGACATTTTCTTTCTTTCTTTCATTACCTGTTTGGAAGTCCCAGCCACCATTCACAGTCAAACTTAGAGTAAAAGCACTTACTGTGGCAGCTCTCACAGCTGAGTCCTTTCTGAAAGCCTGCTGCTCCGTTCATACCAGGCTTGCTGCCAGGCACCGGGATCTGGTTGGGGTTGGGTTTGGTGCTGATAAAGGAAGGAGAGAAGACGGAGTCATTCTAGGGGTCAGTTCTAACTGAAGGAAGGTCCTTTGTGTAGCAGTTGGCAGTGGTACTCACTAGGTGGGAATGTACACCTGCTTCAGCTTGCTGTCTGCCTCTGCTGCCTTTAGTCGTTTCTGCCAGTGAGAAAATAATTTGGGGTTTGTAGAATCTTGATATGGACATGCAGTCAAAAACAAATCAAGCTTTTTTGGGAGATTTTGTGGCTTGCTTGCTTGCTGTGGTCCTACCTGTTGGATGTAGCGATCAGTAGTCTTCCACATGTAGTAGAACTGGACCACACTGGCAAGAGACTTCCAGGGCAGCTGAGGAAGAAAACATCTACTGAACCAGATGTCCATGTACATACATAGAGAACAGTTCAACTGAACACTGAAGTTGAAAACGTGTTTTTACCTGACATCATTATTCCAATAATCATGATTTCACATATATACTGTCAGAGACAGCAGAAAGAGAGAGCTTACAAAGTCCTGACGGATGTCGTTGAAGTCTTTGCCATATTTCTCCAGGGCCTCCTCAAACAGCATGGCCTCTGAGGCGCTCCACTCCTCCATCTCATCGCGGCAGAGCACTGGCCCCCCCTGAGGAACCAGGGTGGACATAGCTTTGGCCAGATCGTAGTTGTTCTTCTGCAATGTGTCCATAGCATGGAACTGACAGCAGAGAGAAGGCAAGACAGAGCAGAGTGGTGGAACATTAGAGCCTCAGTGGGCACATATACTGTATTACCATCAGAGATCTGTCATTTGATTCCACCTACACATACTTGTAAACACAGCCAAAGTGTTAAATCAGTTTCTGTGGAGGGGGCATACACCACTGTGTCTCAGTTCCATATACTACTAGGAGCAGCCATGGCCCAGGAGATAGAGTGGGGGGTCATACCCCAACCTTAGGATCAGTGGTTCGATCCCCAGTTCCTCCAGTCCACATGCTGAAGTGTCCTTATATCAATGCATGAGTAATAATTATGTAACGATATAATAAATAAGAGTACAACAGTCACAGGGGACCATTTTGTTCATTGAGTAATTTTAACATTTTAGGCAACCTACATTTTGGTGATAATACATACTGTATTACCAAATATTTTAAATGCAGATCTTTTACTTGTGACAGAGTAGTCTTACACTGTGGTGTCATTATTTTTACTTAAACGTGAATACCTCCTCTACTATTGGTGCTAACCTGGAAACTAACATGCTTTAGTTACTTTGTATAGCATGTTAGAATTACGTGCTATTATTTTTATTCTGTTTATTGCAGTAATGCAGTCCTGTTAATGCTTTAGGGTCAAGCTGTCTCTGTAAATACAGTTCCTGATCAAGCTCAACCATCTGTCAAATAATCACTTTTGTCCGGCCAAAAAATAAACAGAACTTATGTTTTCATGCCTTTGAGGGTCATTGTAGCTGATAATAATAATAATAACAGTGTAATAGCACATACCGTAATATTTTCTGAGATGGTTATCATCACATCGTGAAAATCTCATACCATTGCAACCGTACTATGTACATTTCCAAATTATGTACTGATGTTGATAGCGAACTAGTTTGGGAGTATACAAGAAATGCAATTAACTACTATTAGTACTGAAAAAAAAAACATTACAAGAAGTCAGACATCACAATTGTCAGTTTCACTTTTTAAAAATCTTCAGTCAATAAAACAGGAAATGTAAATCTTTTATGGAAAAAATAATTAAAAAACTAAATATTATTAAAAGCTTGGCTTGGAGTGTTTACAGTGTGTCAGTCTCACCAATGTGATGTCTCTGGAGGCTGCAGCTGCACTCATATGGAGGCTTGGCTGGCGGATGGAGCTGCTACAGTCCAGGGCCCGAGCAAATGTGCCCACAGCTCTGAAACAAACAGGTTACAACCAGTGGTAAATGGTAGATGGTCTTCTATTTGTATAGTGCTTTTCTATGCATTGCAGCACACTCTGAGGACTCTCACACTATTTGGTCATTCACCCCATTCACACTCCCAAGCATACGCACATTCACACACTGGTGAGATCACCGGGAACAATTTGGGATTCAGTGTCTTGCTCAAGGACTTTTTGGTGTGTGGACTGGAGAAACCAGGAATCGACCCAACCCCTACCTCCTGCGCTACCTACAATGATTCAATAATCCTGAACTGAAAACAAAGAAACATTGACATTATATGGTAATGTATGTAAGAGTGTCAACTTTCATTAAATGACCACTAGATGGAGTGTTTGGCTGATGGACCATACCATGGGCAGCAGCAGGATTCCCTCCAAAAGCAAACCTGATAGTTTCCCTGAAATTAAATTCCTTAAAGGCATGCAATCTTTGCATGTAATACATACAACATCGTTGATATACACAATCACAAACTGATACTACCATTATGTCCAGGTGGGAATTCTGCTTAATAAGTCTGATATTTTTCTGGCCCTAGTCTCGTAACGCTACACTTTTCTAATTACAGGCTAAGCTCTTGCAAACAGTTTACCATAAAACAACACTGTCTTTCAAAGTTTAAACTTTTTTTTGAAAAGCTGTCATGCTGGTGGCTGAGTCACAAGTCTCCATGGCAACAGGAGCTAGTGAAGATGATGATGAAACTGGTTGACAGATGGCAGAGGAGCATTACCTTGCCACCACCAGGAACTGGTCGATCTGAGGGTCTTTGAGTTGGTTGTTGGGGTCCCACACCTTGGTCTCCAGCTTCTCCTGGACCCGGTTATCTGATTCACCTGACAAGGAGAAACTGGGTTTAACTTACAAATGTGAACTCTTTACAGTTTCTGCTTTATGTATACTTTTAAAACAAACAAAAACAGCTCGAGCTGCAAATGGATTCTGCAAACATTTGTTCAATGTTAAATGTGCTGCTCACCCTCAGCTAGCTTGTCAGGGATCTCAGCCTGGTACTTAGAGCCCACCCGGATCTCGCCCTGGTCTGCCAGCAGGGTCTTCTGAACTGGGTCAAATACCAACGAGTAGAAAAAACAGTCCTGGATAGAAGACACAGCAAAAGATTGCAGCTGCTTGCCAAAAGCATAGTGTTCCTGCTATTATTCCAGTGTCTTTCTTTTTATAAAGTGAAGCTGTAAAACCCAGGAATAAACGAGTGCCAAACTCTTGTACTAATGAAAACGAGCAGGTGTCTTACCTCTTTCTCAAGGTAGCCGGCCAGCACATCTGTTTCATTGAGCAGGGTGACGTTACATTTCCCCCTGAGGAGACAGTGGGGAGCATTCAGAGACCAGAATGTTCATGACAAAGATGGAAAGATGTTCTACATCTCAAAAGATGAAAGTACGGGTGTGAACAAAAGACATAACAGTTGAACTGAGATGGTTTTGACATTACCTTATTCCTCTAAAGCGGTCTTAAATCACTGTTGGCTACTATTATATTAGTTTGCATATATCTGAGATGGAGTTTCAGGAAACAAAGTCTGAAATAAGGCTCATATGATTTTGGATTAAAGATGTACGTCATATACATGTGCTACTCTGTGATGAGAACATATCACTGGCCTTAACAGCTAAGAATGGCCTCAGCAAGGATCATTCACCGAGAACTTTAGTCCAGAGCTTGGGTTAATAAACACGTACCGTATGTGAGTAGCAGGTAGTGATTCAAACTGTCGAGATAGGAAGAGTTCTCTGTGCTTGAGCTGGTGCTTCTGTTGTTCAGACAGCACCGGCTGCTTCGACTCCTCCTCAAACTCTCCTACAAACACATCACCACATGACAAACATCACACACAGTCATCAATAGACACAAACTCACATACAGGATCCAAAAATGTCTCAGGACCTGCCAGGGAGAGTAAAGCATAAAAATGTCAAATAAAAAGGAGTGACTTTTTTTAAGGAACCTGCACCTGTTCTCTCTTTTTCTTTTTACTTGCTTATACCCCTTTTCATACAGTAGACACGTGATGTCTGTGCACTGGCTGAGCCATCATGAACCCATTTATGGAGTCAGATGACCGTCACTGTTAGAGACTCCATTCTCCAATGTAGTTCCATGCACTTAACTGATCACCCACACAATCACAAAAAATAAAGTTTCACTTTCTGCCTGCTTTCCTCTCTCTTACATAATGACAATCCCATCCCTGATAAAACACCAGCTCACCAAAGCCAGGCAGTGTCTGACAATTGTCCTACTCTTTTCATGAGGAGCGCTGCCTGACACAGGTCCACCCATTCAGACTGACCGCTACAGTGGGTTAGACCAGAGGCCCTGTGCCCATTTGAATGGGATGTTTTCTAATATACACAACATTTGTGCACAGGTATGTGAACCCACAAATAGTCTTGTGCTGTTTTGTGTCATAGCTTTATATTCCAGAGTACCAACTAATTCGGGGTAAACAGGACAATTTCAGTTTATGATAAATCTATTTGTGAGTGAACCTTTCATGCAACCAAAAACAACCCAAAAATTCAAAATGCATTGTGTCAGGTACAATTAAAGGTGGCTGTGGCTCAGGCGTTAGAGCGGGTCATCTCCTAACCAGAACATTACCAGTTCGATTCCCGGCTTGTCCAGTCCACGTGTTGAAGTGACTTTGAACAAGACACTGAACCCCCAGTTGGTCCCAGTGATGTCACTGGTGCATGAATTTGGGAGTGCAAATGGCCAAATAGTGTGAAAGTGCTTTGGGTATGCTGCAATGCATAGAAAAAGCACTATACAAGTACAATCATGTAAGAATGTTAACACTGTTATAATCTTTTTTAGTATAATATGTGTGTGGGTAGAAGTGAATCATTTACTGCTTGCAAACCAATGATGGTAAGATGATGTCATGGGGTAGGACTGGATAAGTCTGACTTCTTCCTACTCCATTCAAGCATGTACTAGGTATAAGCAAATTGATATTGGATTATGTGTAAAATTATGTGTGTTGTCATATCAACTGTCTTTACATGCTTGAAAGAATAAATCAAATCAAATCAAATCAGAGAGGGACAAGTAACAGACCCAGTCTAAAGGCTTTACAAATGCCAAAACATAGCACTGAGTAATCCTATAATTTGAGCGACTCCTAAAACCCAGCACTCAGTTAGCATTTTTGCACTTCAAGTCAATGGGTTTTTTGAATGAAGGTCTGAAATAAGGTCTGTGGTTAACACAAGGCCAATATACTTTCATATTTTATTCTATGACATAAAATGGGTCTCTAAATTCTCTACTGAAGGTTTGTAAATGGTTTTATGTCTTATAAAAAGGTGGCTGCCAACAAGTGTCTGAATAAGAAAACGCAATCACACCGAACACAGACAGTCATCTCCTCACTAGTCAGCCTTTACAGGCAGTTATTTAATCTCACACACTTGCAAACTCTTCTAACTGACCCAGGCATAATCACTAGCTAGATTAGGTCAAGCTAAGAGGAAAGGATTTTCAAGTTGGAAGCCGTGGAACTGTGCTCATTTATAACCTAACAATAATAGCTTTTTACTTCATTTCAACATTACATTTGCCATGTGCCTATGTACAACCATACATCTGCACTGGAATTCTTGTGCAGGTTGCACACTCAGATCCAAATACACTCACACATAATAAAATAGAATAAACTAAGGACAATAAAAAAAATAAACAAAAAGTGTTTCAATATAATAAAGCAACAGCATTAAAATCAGACTTCTGGTGATTATCTTGCTAAAAAAAATGTTTAAATGTCATGAACTTTTGTTTGTCACAGAGCTTATCTTCAGCAATAATAAAAAGCCTATAGAAAAATCCTATGGGCTTTCTCTCCAAAGGAACCACGGTGATGCTACATTGTTTTGGTACATTTTCTAGAGAATGTACCAAAACTGTACGTATACAAGGATAAAGAATTTCATCTTATTTGTCACCTCCATTACCAGGTAAACAGGACAATTCCACATTTCACGTTGCCAAGTACAGCCTACCAGGAGTGTGTGTTTGCACATGACTGACTGGTGCAGTGCCTTGCCAGATGATGCTGCATTACATTGTGAGCCAAGTTAAGGCAGGTTCAATGTTTTTTTTTTTTTGCTGAAGCCCTCTATGACAAAACAGTAGTCTCACTGAAATAAACTTTGGGGGGGGCTTTTGTCAAGTGCTTACTGCTGCCTGCCTGAACTTGGCCTTAAGAACAAGAATGCCATGTTTATAGACCTACTTTTATGTACTGACCTTCACCTATTGATGTTTTTCATGTCTTCTGGATTAATTTCATACTTTGCTTTTACTGATATGCTTAATCCTTTGTAAAGCACTTTAAAAGGTCATCAAACCATTAGCTGGTCATCACTGTACCCTGGAGAAATTTCTTAAATGATGTCTTCCATAAGAAACCGATTAATTATAAAGTGAACTAGATCTTCTCCATCCACTGCAATGCACAGGGCCACAGACATAGTTCTTAATGGATTTACAACACTGTGACAAATGCATATGACAGCCATGATTCCAGCTAGTAAGAGATGTGAAAAAAGAAGCCATAGGCAGCTACAGTACATGTATATGTGTCTGTGTGCATATGTGTTTGTCCACTAGATTGCGCATTCCTAATTTCAGGCGGGTGAGTAATTTGTTGCAAGCTAAAGAGGAGGGACTATATCGTTCCATCTCGTTGGACTCCGCCCCCGTGCTCAGCCACAGGAAACCTTGTCAGTGAGGGCACGAGAGAGGGAGAGACAGCAAGAGAGAGGGACAGCACCTTAAGCCACACCTCTTTTCTGTTAACCTCTCAACCCCCTCGCCCCTCCTCCCCCTGTCCGGCTAGTCCCTGCCAGAC